GAGACCCTGCCCCTGCCCGGAGCCGCCGGGCACCTTCTGCGCTTCTCCACAACGCTCCGGGTAAGGGTTAGGCGACGGTGGGGCACCTCCGTGTGCGGGGGGTGTGTGGGTGGGGGTGTGTGTGAGCCAGGGAGAGAGAACCAGAGGCAGGAACAAGGCAGCTTGGGATAACTGTTATTAAATAAAGTTCAACAATATCTAGATCTTGTCAGATGCTCTGTGTAGCACTGATTCGCCAGGCGCACGCTGGAATGGGTCTTCTGATAGGGTTGGAAGCGGAGGACGTTCTCCTTCGTGTTAGAGGAAGAAATTCAAGGCAGTTGCCCCAGCAGCGAAGAGCGCTCGCTGGCTGTGCCGGAGCGGGAGGCAGCCGGGGGAAATTCCTCTTGCTGGCACTATTTCTTTCAGCGCTTTCGTGCCCTGGTGAAGTTTATTTGCTCCTGTTGACATCTCGGCTGCCTTTTGGGCAGATTTACCACCGTTAACGTTTTGGCTCGTCTGTAATACTTCGAGCGGTTTCGTGTCCAACAGCGTGGTCTCTTCTCGTGAATGGGAATTTTTCTGGCTTGCCACCCCAGGCGAGTTAGGCGTTTTGTTCCCCGCGTCTGCGGCCGCTCCGGCAGTGGGGCAGGAGCGCAGGCACAGCACGCACATGGGGCCTCCAGTCACACGGCCACCTCGCAGGCTCCACGTATTCAGAGTACATGTGAAGGAGAATGCTAGATTACGTTCTTACAAAATGTTATTACGGATGTTAGTATGTTACTTAACATGAGGCAGTTTACACGTTACGTTCTGTAACAATATAAATACGTCAAAAATACGCACGGAGGAATGAAGGACTGTCAGAAATCCATAACAAAATATCATTAGTAATGATTATATTAGAAGTTTTCTAGTTTTGCTTCTTACAGAAAAGTTTCTTCCAGGAGAGGAAAGAGATGGTAACTGGCAATTTTGTTCCTAGCTTTGCATGCTGGCTGCATGACTGCCATGCTACCACCATGTTCATACGATATATGTATCAAATTTTCACAAGAAAACATCATTAAATAAGGAGGATACTAATATCAGCACTAAAGCATAAGGCTGTGGGTTCTGTTCATAACTCTAGCACACTTAGTTGGGCAAGTATGAACTTGGAGAAGTCATTTAAACCATTAGTAATTCAGTTTTTCCATTTGTAAATTGGGGAACCATAGTCATAGTACATAGTGAAAGTATTAATACTTGCCTGAAAAGAGTTACAGTCAAATATACCTGTTGTTTCTGATATGATTTAGAAACCTAAATTGAAAGCACTTACATCATGCAAACTCTTGCAAACTGCCCTGAGATACCAGAATAACAGGAATTTAATAAAGAAGGATTTACTATTTAGTATACCAAACTTTAAAATTGAGTGCATAGGAACTCACAGTTGGTCAGAGCCTCGTCTCAAATACACCGATATAAAACACTGTAAACGTGGATCCCTGGTCTGTGAGGGACAGCACTCCACATGCCAGACAGGAATACTCAGGTTAATGTTGCATTTGGTGCTGTGTACAGATAGGTACACCATACTTCTACAGACCACACACAACAGAAGAGGGTAATAGTAGTAAATATTTATCCTGTGGCTGTGTCCAGAAGCACTAACAGTAAATTGTCTCCCACATTCTTTCTCTGGTAAATTTCTGTCTATAAACTCTGACTTAATAGCCCCACAGGGAATGAAATTAGTATTAATTTCTTTAAAAGGATCCTTCCACATCCTTCATGTGAGTCCCTAGAAATCAGAAAGTTATAAATACTTGACTTTCTACTCTTCTTTTGGCAGCACTGCAGCACTTTGTCTTGTTTTGCAGATACGAGCCATGTAAAAAAAATCTATATCTTAAATTAAACTGAGGCTTCAAGGAAATGGACTTGAGTGGCCTCCTTGGTTTCAGTGGAGGCGTAGCATCTATACTCCCTGTGGCAGTGAGGCAGCTCTGGGGGTGACACATAGGCAGTCGTGCTTACTGAGGCAGAATGCTATGATGCTTCCTTTCCTGTCTGGAAGTGTCATGAAGTATTGCTTATAATACTAAATCAAGTATTTTTTAAATCCTTAAGAGAGCTTAAATTTTTATAATTAGCTTTGCTGTGGCTAAGTACTGAATGTGAGTTGCAATGACATTCAGGAACCAAATGACACACAAAGTTTGAAGGGTTTTCCTAGCCAGGGGTCTACCCTGAGACTGTAAGTCTTCCTCCTAATACTTAGGGACTTTGGATCCGGTCCAAAATTTTATTTGAAATCCATGTATTTTCAGTCTTCATTTGAAATCCAGGTAATTATAAAGTCTGAGAAAAATAATATAAAGCCTCATTGTTGCCATATGTCAAAAATACTCAGAAAAATAAGAAATTTACTACCTTTAATTATTAATGCAGTGCTGTTATCTTACTTTTTTGAAGAAAAAATAGTAACTTTGATTTTAGCTAAAATATCGTTCAGCAGTCTCCAAGGCCTCCCTTTGCTGGTACATTTTTCTTGCAAGACTATATTTTAAAACAGAACTTCATCCACCATATTTTTTCCATTCATATACAAATTCTGTCTCAAACTAAAAGAGTTTTGCAGGATCTCATTTGTATAAGCTATAAATTACTTGTGGAATTTTTTGTGTTTGCATTTTGTCAGACAGTTAATGTGGGTAATCTAGATTCCAGAGGAGCACAGTGATTATAAACGGGTGTTTATACGTAAGTGTCATAGAAACTGTACATTCAGATACCCTTTCTAAGTGAGAAACCGGGTGTGTTAGTCTACCTGTTGCACTTATTCTGTGTTTCTTTCTTCTTATTTTGTTGTTGCTTGTTGTTTCTCTCTGCAGGTGAGGAAGTGAGAAGTATCTTGCTGAAATACCGAAAAAACGCGGTCTCACTGAATTTGCTCTTTTTTTGGGACTTCAGGATGGAAGCCTTGTGTTTGAGAGTTTCCTTGCTGCTGCTGGTTCCAGGATTTGTCCTCAGTGACAGCTCTGACAGATATGCTGCCAATCGGAGTGACTTGGGAAACTACCTTTCCACTTTCTCAGGGATCGAATCCAGCATCCTCCTCACCACCAGACAGCCCCTGGTGTCCAACCAAACTGTCAAGTGCTCCCAGCAGACTAAGATTGCTGAAACTTTTAAATACATTAACACGGTGGTATCTTGTGCTATTTTCATCGTTGGAATGGTTGGGAATGCAACGCTGCTGAGGATCATTTACCAGAACAAGTGTATGAGGAATGGCCCGAATGCACTGATAGCCAGTCTGGCACTGGGAGACCTTATCTATATTGTCATTGATATTCCTATCATTGTGTACAAGGTAGGATGCCACAACCATACATTCTAATTGTAGTTTCCTTAAAAGTACACTGTCTGTTTTTCTAAGAAGTGCTCTTTTGTTGACGAATAGTCCACTTCATTAAAAATACAACTCCTTTTTGTTCTACAACAAAAACCTTGCTCTTAGGTCTCTCTTCTGCAAAGAAAAAGTGTACCTGCTTTTAAAGATGATGTAGCTCTTAGCTCTTAGCCAAAGCGCGGCCTTGGGCATTTCACAGGAACTCTTCATTTATTATAGCAAAAGAATTTATGAGGGAAGACTTTTTATAAGCTGTTCTCCTCCTTCATGGACATACAGAATTGGACTAGTAGCTATTTTTGGAATATCCTGTCCTAACCTTATGTTTTTACAGAAAATACTCTCTGTGATCTGCAGACTTCATGTTGTGACTTTGCAGAGAGAGACGATGTCAGTTAAGTTGAACGTTAGGGTTTTAATTTAATATTCTTTAATAGCAGATTCTCAAAATTATTCCAGAGTTAGTAAAATCAATTATACCACAGAACATTTTAAAAATATTAAATTTCATCTGGATTTGTCAAAGTATGAAAAGGATCCTCAGCAATTCTTTAATCTGGTATAAAGTTATCCTGTCCCAGTTTTTTTTATTTTCTATTTCACTTAAACAAAGCCATAAAGCAGTACTTTTTCTGATGCAATGCATGTTTACTAATCTAACTTGCATGATTTCAGGACAGGCTTGAATGAACAGAACTGAGTCCTTTTTTAATATAGCTCGCTGATACTAACTTATCTCAGAAAATCATCAAGGAATTTTGTAGCTTCTACCTGTATCTTTGAGGATTGTATACAGGTGCATAGCTGACAGGATATTATCATTTTTCTTTCTTTTCTCAGTAAAAACTTAAGGTGTTTCTGTTAGTAAATAAAACACCAAGTAATATAATGAAGAAAACCCATTTCTCACAATTTTGGCCCTCAAAGACTCCAGAGACTTAACTTTTATTTACATATGCTTTAAACAAAACCTTTTAATGCATAACTTTTTAAGAACTAATGTCCTGTGGTTTCAAATTGGATTTTAAAACTAAAGAAACAGTGAATTGAAAAGATGTATTTTGTATCTATATAACTATTAACATCATAACTATTGACCTGCATTACAATGCAGGTATTGATAGGACAGGATCATAAACATTTGAATTCATTAATAGATTTATAATATGTATATGTGCATACATTACATTTGCTCAGAGGCATATTATCTACAGTAAAATGTACTACCTGGTTTTGGTCTTCCAGTAGCATGAATTACAGAGAAGTCTTTTAACTTTATCTGGTTTTAATATGATATCAATTTGGAAATAGGATAAAAGCTGTTAATAATAATGCATGTGACTTAATGGAAATTCTGGTTTCCACTTTTCAATATTCTACCTGGAAAATTAAATAATCAATTTGTTGATAAGATAGCAGATATCTGTAGAGTATTTTGGATTAACAAGTTGATGAGAAAGATTAGCCTCTGCCTGTTTTGGGATTCACCTGTCTTCCATAGCTGTGTGGATGTCTACTGGGACATGGGATTGGGGTTCTGCATGTTTTAGTTATTCTTAGTGAACTGGGCTCATAGCCTGGACTGCATCTCCCATGATGCATTACAGTGTCCTCCCTGGTAAATTATCCTGATGTCTTTAGGAATAATTTCTAAGGCAGTGTTCTTACTTCTAGTGGTATTCCTGATAAGAAATTTTAAGGAAAAATTGCATGTGTTTTTTTTCAGAGCTGAATTTGGGAAAGAACAGGTATTTTTATGACACAATTTTTTTCTAACCTTTTAAGAGCTCTGCTGCTTCTTCACAAACAGGAACGGAAATCTGGAATTAATTTTGCCTTTCAGAATTGCCTTTTGATGGTCTTCTGAAAATTTATAAGCATAATTCTAGTTTTTAGTAATTTTTTGAATGTTTTTTGTTGTATAAAGTTAGCTGCAGGTATTCTGACACAGGGAAGCATTTATGGCATTTATAAGGGAGCTCTAGTACTTCTGATAAGAAATTCTATTATTACTTATAATCTATTCTTCATGTAAACCATTCAGTAATATGTCTGCTTACATTAGGAGTTGATTTTAAAGTTTGTTAAATGGCATTCTTGCCTTGTATCAGTAGGGATCCTAAAATCTGTGGCACCATTTAGCTCTTCTTTTTGAGTGACAGTATGAAGGGTGGCCACTGGAAATATCACAATTTGAGAGTGGAAGTGATCATTTTTTAAGGAAACAAATTAAAGTGGTTTTATTTTTGTTTTAAAGTTTAAATTTTTAAGTATTTTATACACTTAGTTCTAAACTTTATTTTAAAGATTCTTTTAGCTTAAGAGTCACCTCACACTGAACCATGTATTAGTATCCTTTATAAACAAATGGTGTCAAACAGTTAATACCTTATAGGTCAGATCTTCATTTTTAGGAGGACCAAACAGCTCTGAAATCGGAATAGAATAAACAAGCATTCATCCGCATATTAAAATAACCAATTGTACAGTATTAAGATGGCCACATCATATAGAACAATATTTGTAATACTATGTAATCATAATGTAATATCAGAAATAGGTATAATCACTTTCCTGAAACATAAGGTAACCTTAGCTATTTTGAAACTACTTTCAAAAGAGAAGCAGGTAATGTTACTAATATTCAAATCCATTTTACAAATCCTTAGAAAGAAGCAGCTATAAGATTATAGTAATTGAAAATGTAAGGTTCCAGGAGAACTGAGTCCATCATTCTGTTATGCATTTACACAATTAACAAAGACGTGATACTGGAAAAAAAAAAAAGAAACTATGTAATTTATGTCAGCTGAAGATATGGTCACAGGTTTTTGACATTTTTATCCCTTCTTCACCATACAGTAGGCTCAAAAATTCCTTCTTACTTTCTCCAATTACTATAATTACGAAGTGTATTCCCCTTAGCAATTTGTTAAATGGATTGAGAAGTGAGTAATATTCACTAGCTTCCTTTGAAGATATTAAAGGCCCATTACACTTAATTACTGCTAGTATATCCACTTGTAGTATCAAATCAATATTAAAAATTGTAAAAAATTGAGTTTTAGAGGAAGAGTGCCAGTTATAAATCCAGCCTTCATAGACGGAACTAAGACAATTTCACTTTCAATCAATCACATTTATAGGACGTGGAGTCAAATAGTTTCATCTTTACCCAAAACATACCCATCTCATACATTCAAGATTTCAAAGCCTAAAGCCTCTGAATTAGTAAGAATGACTTATTTGCAGTGAAAAGAAGATTGGGAAATAAAACTTCAGTGTTTTATGCTGCTGCAGATGTGGGGCTAAGGCACTGGAGATAGGTTTCATACCTCCTTTTCTAGTATCAGGTGGCACAGGACGTAGCTGAAAGCTGCTGCATCACCTGCATTACCTATCACTGCTATGAGTATTTGTAGCAAATAGGCTAAGTTTGGATGCAATGCACACAAACTTTAGAGAACTGCTTTCCATAAAGAAACTAGACAGTTTTCTAATGCTATACATAGAGGCAGGAGCAGAATATCCATAGCACCCCGATTGCTTTGGCTGTGCTAAAGCTCTGGAAAGCCCTCACAGCTGCTGCTGCTGCTGGTGTCGTTGGCTAAAATTTAGCAGAGCCACAGCAAGAACAACAGGTTCTCTCCACAGAAAAAGCTATCCACAGCTCTTTCCTGAGCTCATGGAGCTAGAAACACTCTAGACCAAGGCTCTCACCTTTGGAATGGCAAAATTCAGTTTTAACAATGTTATTGGGAAGTTCTGAGCTTCCAATTTTAGGCAATTTAGAGAAAAATGTTTAAATGACTTCTATTTATTGAAAACTGACCTACATAGGATTGACATAAATTATATTGCCTTACATCTTAATATGCTTAACTCCTTAAACCATTAGTTTATGAAGAAGTAGATAAAGCAAATTAACCAGCTTTTAACCTGTTTCTTTAAATGTGAACAACAAACACTTTCCTATTTATTTTACGGTATAAAGTGCAAGACATCTACCCAGAAAACAAGCAAGAGTGTCCACTGCTCAAACAGCTCAAGAAGATGATGTTTTCTTTAATAAACTAAACTTTTTTTGTTAGTAAATTGGTATTCATGCTTACCTTAGTTGCAATCTAAATCTGAGTAGTCCACCTTGAACATTATGAGGCTAAATATACAAGCTAGCTGGCAGTAAGCAGCAAACATCTTCAGCCATTTTGTCTCCAGTAAAGGAACACTCAGCTAAGACATTTCTAGTCATGGATGTTTTCCAACATCAGAGCAAATGTATAAGTTTTAGACCAATCCCTTCTTAATCACAAATTATTTGGCATATCTGCTTACCTTTACTGACAGAATTAATATTATACATAAGCAGAGATGACAGTTAAACACATTGGGACTGATCCTGTAGGCTAACAGAGCAAGTGACATCCCCAATAGTTATAGTTTTGTGCCACAGCAGTGTAAGGCCAAGCCCACAGCATATAAAGTTAAGTGTACTTAGAAAAGACACACCCCTTTAAAAGCAAAATTTGTCATATGCATGGCGTATATTTCTCAGTGAAGTGCCAACACCAGTAGGAATTTCTGGGGCCACCAGTTTAACAACTGCATTCTGGCTTTCACTGAGTTCTCATCAGTGATTCCAAGAAGCAATGCATTGGTAGCCCAGTGTGATGCAGAAATCCATATAACTTGCTCAGAACATGACCTATTATTTGGGTGTATGTCTCCATGTAGTGATCATACATAAAAGAAATCTACAGGTAACACAGGAACTGATCGCCGAGTCCTGAAAGCAGAAGTTACCCAAAATGGAACAGGGAAGGGAAGTCCATCAGGAACCCATTCTTTCCATTTACAGACTACAGCTTCCCAGCAGAAAGTGTTTAATGTGCATACCAGGGTAGGAGTTAAGGAAGAGATTTTATATTCTAGGTCTTAATTCAAGATGCACTCTGCCTTTA